TCTCCCAGCACAGCATCAGGTGCCTAAAAATGGGTTTCGTAAAAGCCAACACAATGAGCAGAACCTGCCTGCTCTAACCCGTAGGAAAACATGGGGAAGGAAGGTTCTCATCCTGCCAGTCCTCAGAATGCTGCCTTATTTCCTGGGGGCTGTGAAGAGACACTTCTCCCCAGCTGATATTTCCTACCCTGATCCTTCTGTAAGATTTATGAATCTGCAGCTTTTCTCTCTCTCACACACACACACACATACACACCAAAAAAAAAAAAAAAAAAAAAAAAAAAGGAAAGATCATTCCTTTCTTCTGTGTGCATAGCTGTGGAGAGATGCGGTGCCCTCCCACATCCCAGATCTTTGAGCCAGGCACCCAAGAGCAGACATAAATCAGTGTTTTCAGGTCCCCTCTCTGTCTGAAGGGACCTGGGGCATTAAACAGCATTTGGGGGACTACATGAAACCCCTCAGCTTCCCATGCTCTAATGTGTTTCTTCAGAAAACAGCAGCTTCAGCAGTTGAAAGCCACAGTATGCAAACATGCAAGTGTGAGAGCAAGTCTCCAGCTCAGTGGCTGGTGTGCTGTCCTTGGAGCTGGGAGCTTCGGGCTTTGATCGGCTCTCCCTTTTGGACCCGTCCAATGGGATCTACTCTGCTGGAACATATGGGCAGTTCTTGGGACTGCTCACATTCAGAAAACCCCGTGCAGTTTTCAGACAACTACAACATAGACATTTCAGAAGAATCTTGCTTCAGAGCAATTTTAGCACGCCTTGTGGACTCGATTCCCATCTAGGATTCCTGGGTGTACATCTCAATCTCTCCTTGTTACAAAGCTGCAGGTAAGGAGGATCAGGCGCTGCCCTCCAAAAGCACACTGACTCGAATTCAAACAGCAGTTAAAATACACCCTCAGGCGGCTTGAAATCCTGCCCTTGTGCACGGAAACCCAGATCCTGCCTGCTTTCCGACGCCTTCCACGGCTGCACAGCAGATGACATAACATTAGTCGTGACTTACTGACACAGGTATTCAACTAAATAACGCGTGAAACAATGGAAAGGAAACGCCAAGGGTTTGACCAGCTCAGTCTCTGGGTTCGCTTGCGGTTCTGGGCAGTTCCTGCCTGCGCTCAGATAACGAGCTGTGCTCAGCTGGGGAAGTCCCTCCAGCCCCACCGGCCGCTTCCAGCGGCGGATCCCGGCCGGGGGTCCCGGCCCGCGGTCAGGGGACGGCCCTGCTGCAGCGACCCCCGCACTCCGCGGCGGGGCGGGAGCGGCAGGGGCGGCAGTGCCCGGAACCCCCCGGCTCCTGCATTGCTCCCCTGCCCACCCTGCAGCCCCCGCCCGGGGCGGCTCCGGCGGGAGGGGCTCCCCAAACGCGTTCGCCCGCTGCTCTCGCATCCCCAGAGAGGGTTGTTTGGAAATGGGAAGTTTGGGAAGGGTGGGCAAGCCCCGTCCCAGGGACTCGGCAGGTGGCGACAGAGCACGGGCTTTGGGGATGGGGGGCGGCTCCCCGGGCCGCCCGGGGCAGCGGTGCCGAGGTTCCGCCAACGCCGCCCGAGCGAACCTTCCTCCTGCAGGGCTTCCCGTGAGGATTAAATACTTATTTTTGCAAGTACTCTTCCAGAGAGATATAATGGTATTTTAACTTTTAAATTTTTTTTGTTTATCTCGCACATATACGTTTCTAGATACAAACATAGGAATAATCAGAGCATATACAGAAGCCTAAAATCCAACAGGCAAGGCGCAAGCCGCGGGCGACGGAGAAGGGCTGGAGGCCGCTCTGCCAGCACCCTGGCCCGACTCGGAGGGGCAAACCCGGCTCCCATTCCCCGCGGCTGGGCCGCCGAGCGCTGCCCGCGGTGTCGGGGAGCCCCAGGGGGTCGAAGAGGCTGCGTCGGGCTCGGGCACCGCTCGGGGCTCGGGAGAGGCGGCCGGGGGCTCGGGCTGCCAGCATCCCGGCGGGATCCGTGGGATCGGCCTGCCCGCAGCCGGCCGGGGAGCTGGACGGGGCAGGCATTTGGCCGAAAGGGCTGCCAGGGCTGTAAGGGCTGTCCGTCCGTTCCCGCGGGGCGCTGGCAGTGCCCGGCCCTTCCGGGATGCTCCCGGTTCCGCGCCCTCGAGTAGGGACGGGGGAGCTGCAGAGCCTCGGGCTTAGTCCTTCCATTTTCCCCTATAAAGAACTCGAATAATTTTTTTCCACCTCCTTTGTCGGCCTCGAGGAAGAAGAAAAAACGTCCTTCGAGACTCTATTCAAAAAAAAAAAAAAAAAAAAAAAAGCAGCATCGCTTCTGCCGCGCAGTTCATTCGCCTCCTTCTCGAGTCCCTCGGAAAGCAAGATTAAAGGGGAAAGTCGCAGCTGTATATTTATGTTTTCATTGCTAGAAGGGAATTGATTTCCTTGCATTTATTTTTGTAGTTGCAATACACAAGGGCGGATTTGCGTCACCAAAGCAACTTGCTGGTCGAGATAAAGTTGCACAAATATTGAAAAGGGAAGTGCTCGCGCTCATTATGAAGTTTTTCTCCGGAAGAAATAAGGATTTCTTCTGTATCCTAAAATACTAAAGCCGCTTCTATTTTGGGACAAATCTCGCAGGCACATCCGCTCATTTAGTCCGAGTTGGAACCTCTCAAAAAACAGGAGATGACCTGGACTGCAGCGAGCCCCGGGTTTCCTGCAGCCTTCTCCCTCCTTGCGCGGAGAGGAGGGGCCGCTGCCTCCCCCGGCAGCCCTGCGGTCCCCGGGCAGGCAGGGAGGCCCGCGGAGGCCTTTGGGGAGAAGAGGCACCCTTGTCCCAGGGAGATGGAGAGGCCGGGGGCGAGGCAGGTGCTCCTGGTTTCGGCCGCGGAGGATGCGCGGGTGCGCAGCGCAGCCGAGCCCGGGAAAGCACCTGCCCCGCGGCCAGGACTCCGCGGTTCCCTCGCCCTCCTGGGGCGCAGCCCGGCGGTGAAGGGCTTTTAGTGCGTTCAGCTTTTCCTTTTCAATTGTTTCAGCGCTCGAGGGATGACAGCGGGATCCCGGCCTCCGGCGGCCCCGGAGCCGCAAACGGGCCCGTCCCCCGGTGCTGCTCGTCCCACGGGCCCTGCACGGCTGCGAGGCCAGAGGAGCTTTGAAATCAGCTGCTAAAAGAACAAACAAACACACAAACAAAAACAAAAACCCCAACAACAACAACAAGCCACCGCATTTGTTTTTTTTTTTTTTCCTCCTTTGCCTTGACTGTCTGGTGGGCAGCCACGGGCTGGTCCCACGCTCCGGGGTAGCAGTAGTAATTGCAGCAATAATTTAACTGGGCGGTTTGCGGCCGGGATGCAGCACCCGAGGCACGCTTCGTTGCCTGTCCCTCGGGCGGGCTGGCGGGGCGGCTCTGCCCGGCGGAGGGAACGCGAGTGGAACCGGAGTCGTTCGATTCGCTTTGAGAGCGAGAGGATAGTGCTGGGGTGCCGTGAGGGGGAATGGGGGAGAGATGCAAGGAAAAAGGGCTTTCCGATGTCGGGGCAGGAAAACTTGAGACGTAATCAATATTTTCTTTCGCCTCCTTCGGGTTTCGGACACATCTTGGCAAGACAGCCCATCTTCATTTTCCGGTTTTGTCTCGTTAACAAGAACCAAACCAAAGCGAAGAGGTGCCTGGCTTTTCCCGGGGAGCCAAACTCACCTTCATCCGTTATGGAACGCGGTTATGGCTAAGGAACATGTTCACTCTGGCTCGGAGGTGGTTTCAATAGTCCCACCGAAGCTACATCCTCATACCTGGCGAAAGAAAAATAGTTCGCCTTTCTGGCGGTTCCTCCAAAACCGTCAGAATTTGGGAAACGCTTTGGAAAAAAATAATATTATATTTCTGAAACAAAAGCAAAGCAAACTTACAATCGTCTGACCCGGCAGGCTGCTCAAAACGACAGCGAATGCTTTACTTATACGAAAATTAAAAATAAAGAAATAGTTGATTTTTAGAGTCAGGTCGGGACAAATGTGATGTTAGAGAGGAGGAAAAAAAATGCGCCAAAGATGCTTTCATAGATTTGTGCCTAAATCATTGCAGTGAATATAGCATGTGATTCTGGTGTACTGGAAAAAATGGGGATAGTTCTGACGTCAAATGTCTGAGAAATTATTAAGTAATTTTAAGGTGTAATTGGTCTGCAAGCAGATGCAGCCACCGGGATGGAGAGCCTTACAAAAATCTATCCTAAAATTACACTGTCGTCAAAATAATGCTAGGTAACTAATCGCTACTAATGCAGGATCCAACGTGTCTTGGGCCCAGAACATCTGGGACTTCTCATAAATACATATATTGCATGCATCGGCATGGACTCCTTCCCTTCCAGACTATGCCAGGCTCATTTATCCGGGAAGAAAACAGATTTCCTTGAGAATCGTTTCCAAGAGAACAGCCCAGCTTCCAATGGCCAAGAATTTCCCCGCGCGTTTCTTTCAAACGTTTGGAAATCGCGGCGGCAGCAAGCGCGGCGACCTTGCGCTGTATTTTTTGGGGGGGAAGGGGAAAAGTGGTTTTTCAAAGTCGAGAGCTCAATTTAAGGGGCTATAGGCGTGTGTTGGGGTGTACTCTGTGGGGCAGACCGCTCCGATCGCGGCCCCGGGGCGCGCCGCGGGCGCTGTGGGCGCGGCGGCGAAGGCAGCCCCGGCCCGGCGTGGGCGTGTCGGCGGGCGGCGCTGCCTTGGATTGGGCGTGGGGAGGGAGCGAGGGCCGCTCGCTGCCCGAGAAAGTTTTGCGGAGGGGTGGATGTTTTTTTCTTCCCCCAGTGCGAGGAAAGGGGTTTGCTTTGGGTTTGTTTTGTTTGCGCCGCTCTGCTTCTCGCCCGCTCGCTTTCTTCGTCTGGCCGTGGGTTCTGGGGACTTCTTTTTAATTTTCGGGGTTAATTTTTTCTTTTCGTCATTTTTTGGCGGTTGACTCTCTCTCCTTGCCCCTCCGAGAAGGGCTCCACCAGCCGCCTCTCGCCCCGCCATCCCTCCCCATGCGCCCGGGGCCGCGGGCAGCTCCGCGGCGCGCACCCGGGAGCTGAGCTGCGCAGCGGCGCGTCCCCTCCTCGGGCAGGATGTACACGGCCGGGCTGGCTCCTTTCTACGCCTCCAACTTCAGCTTGTGGTCAGCGGCGTACTGCTCTGCATCGGGGCCGGCGGCCGGCGGCTGCTTCCCTCTGGACGCCGCGGCGGCCAAGAAGCCGTCCTTCTGCATCGCCGACATCCTCCACGCCGGCGGCGAGGCGGCGGCCGGAGCCGCCGACAGCCTGCCCGGAGGGCCCGGCACCGGGATGCCGGCCGCGCTGGGAGCCGTGCACCACGGCGGGGCCTTCCACGCCGCGGCCTCGCCGCTCCGGCCCACGCCCGTCGTGGCCCCCGACGCCCCCGCCGCGTTCCCGCCGCGCCTCTCGCCGCTCTCCAGCGCCTACCACTCCCACCACCACCGCCCCCCGCAGCACCGGGGCCCCGCGGCGGCGGCGGGCGGCGGAGGCGCCCCGGCCCCCGCCCGGCTGCCCGGCGGCCACACGCACGGCTCGGCGCCGGCGCCCGCCAGCAAGGACCTGAAATTCGGCATCGACCGCATTTTATCGGCGGAGTTTGACCCCAAAGTCAAGGAAGGCAACACGCTGAGAGGTAGAGAAATTGGTTTATTCGCTTTCCCTGCTAACGCTTTCGATGCTCTGTTACTTGTACTGTGATTAGCGACTACACCCACGATTTGAACACTTTTCGATCTAGGCGAGAAAATAATTATTTTAAAAAATTATAAATCAAAGTTTCTCACAGCTCTCAGTGAGTCCCCCCCTCCCCGTTCCGGCCTCCGCACGGCAGAGCCGGGTCGCAGGGCTGGCGGCCCGGGGAGAGCAGCGATAGCGTCAAAGTAGCGAGCGGAGCGCTCCGCACTTCCCGGAACGGCCGGGGATTTCTGCCTCCCAGGACACAGCCCGTGTGATTGTTTCGCTTCGATCCATCTCCCCTCGCGGCCTGTAAACATCCTGACCTAGGGAGTAAATATGTCAGAGGATGTCTCACTGCCGGGGCAGGGTCGCCTCTCCCGAGGAGAGCCTCTGGGGACGGGAGATGGCTGCTTGGTGGCCCCTCGAGCCCCTCCGACCGGGCACTCTCTCCGAGTCGTGCCGGGTTGTCGGTCTCGACCGCGGTGTAACAGCGCTCTCCTTGTTCCTGTGCTCGCAGATCTGACCTCCTTATTAACTACGAGCCGCCAAACTGGGGTTCATCTCCCCAACTTGCAGCCTTCCGCCGGCCAGTTCTTCGCGTCTCTAGACCCTATTAACGAGGCCTCTGCTATCCTGGGTCCCTTAAACACAAACCCAAGGAGCTCAGTGCAGCATCAGTTTCAAGACACTTTTCCAGGTACATCTCGTCCCTCCCCTACCCTCCCGTGGCGCAGGGCCCTCCGTCCTGGAGCAGCCTCTTCCTCCCGGAGGGACCCGCCAGGCAATTCTGCAAGGCCGGGTGTGTGTAGCGAGGTTCAGAAGATTTTGGGCGAAAGTCGGGCTGCCTGGGGGGGAGGAAGAGCAGCCTAGGGCCTGATCTAGAGGACCGTCCCATCGAGTACAGGAGTAGTAACCTGGGCCAGAGAGAAGAAGCGGGGAGGTGGGAGAGGAAGAAGTTCGAGCTCCGTGCAGCTCCACCCGCGCCCCAGGCAGCGCAAGCTGACAGGACACGGACCCGTCGGGCAGACAGGGCCACGCTGGCCCGGGCCCTCCTGCACATCGCACTGCAACTCTTATTCAGATCGATTTAAGGCTTCCTCTCAGGCTGCGATATTAATAACACTGTCTCCCCCTCTCTTCCCCCACTTTTCTCTTCCCCTCCCCAGGTCCGTACGCAGTTCTAACCAAGGACACGCTGCCCCAGACGTACAAGAGGAAACGTTCCTGGTCCAGGGCTGTTTTTTCCAACCTGCAGAGGAAAGGTTTAGAAAAACGGTTCGAAATCCAGAAGTATGTCACCAAACCGGACAGGAAGCAACTGGCCGCGATGCTGGGGCTGACAGATGCTCAAGTAAGAATGGCTTCGTTTTTATTTCAAACCTTACTTCCAATTTAGATGAATACCAGAGGGCAGTGAAGTTTCAAAGTGATTTCTCTTCCTTTATCACGAGTGGGGAGTCTGTCTGGGGAGCTGCACCTTGCCCTGAGCATCTCTTGCACCCAGGTTCCGTGGCACACCGCGACCCAGCGCGGAATTTTCGCCTTTGCTTTGGCCACCGAGGAGCAGGCCGGGCGGAGAGATGAGCAGGGCCAGGGCAGGCCATCAGTGTGCGCTTTACTGGAGTGCTGTAGGAGGCAGTTTAGGGCAAAGGAAGTAGAAGCGAAAACACTATTCTTAATATCCTTTTTTTTTTTGGTTATATATTTTTTTGGTCTAAATCTTTCCTTGCGTTGTGAAATCCTTCGTTCTGAGGAAGCGAAAACACTTTTCAAACGGAAGCATTAAACGCCACTCTGTAATGATTACACTATTGAGGCCCGCAGCGCACAGAATTGTATAACGCTGTGGTTTCTTGAGCAAGATTTGGTTTCCTGGAACAAGAAGTAGAAGGAGAGAGGAAAAAAACCCCATCCAAACAAACAAGCAAACATGGGGAGGGGTGTGCGCGGTATTTAAATACACAAATTAGAAGGAGGAAACAACCAAAAAAATCCCTTTAGTCGCGTAAGGATGCGGGCAGTGGGAGGGAAGGACGGCGCCTCCTCCTCTCCCCGCGTTGCCGGTCCCGGTGGAAGGGGTCGGGGCCGGTCCCGGTGGAAGGGGTCGGGGCCGGTCCCGGTGGAAGGGGTCGGGGCGCGGTGCGGGGCGCGGTGGGGCCGGGCCGCCCGTCTAAGGGCGGCGCGGCCGCAGGTGAAGGTGTGGTTCCAGAACCGGCGGATGAAGTGGCGGCACTCCAAGGAAGCGCAGGCCCAGAAGGACAAGGAGCCGCCGCCAGAGCCGGAGCCGGCGGCCCAGCGAGCCGGCACAGCAGCGCCCGCCGCCCCCGGGGAGCCCGAGCGCAGCCCCAGCCGCTCCGACGGCGACAGCGACAGCAGCGACGCTGAGTCCCTCGACATGGCCCCCAGCGACACGGAACGGACTGAGGGCGCCGAGCGGAGCCTGCCGGCCGCCGGGCTGGGCAAGTCCTCCGGCAGCGCCGGCCTGCCTTCCCCGCCGCCCGCCAGCCCCGAGCCGCGGGGCGGTCTATAGTCGGGGCGGCCCGGGACCTGTGCGCTAATTTATGTCCCTGCCCCCGCCCCGGGAGCGCGGCAAGGCCGGCCCAGCCCCGGCCCCGGCCTCAGCCCCAGCCCCAGCCCGCCTGCGGCCAGCGCCCGGGCCGGGGCGAGGATGCAGGCCGAGCGGGGAGCCCCAGCCCCGGGGCGGCAGAGCATAAGGCGGCCGCCTTTCCCTCAGAGCTACTCGCAGGAGATCGGGGGATTTTCCTTTTTTTTCCCCTTTAAAAAACCCCTAATTCTCCGTTTCCCGCCTCTCGTTCTCTCCAAGGAAAATCCGAGCGAGGGATTGCGAGAACGCTCTCAGAAATACCCAACTTCCCCCCCCCCCAACCAATTTACAATGTGAAGTATTTTGCCAACGTCCTCATTGGTTGCAACTTGTTGCTTCGAATAATCCGGCCAAGAAATACTGCACTGACAAAATATATATATATATATATATATAACTCCTGTAAATAAAATGTTTGCTATGGTTTGTAGCCACGTCAGTCTTTTGACCAGGGGCGAGGGCTGGCGTGGCTGCCCCAGCTTCCTTCACCCCGCTCGAAGGCAGCAGCTGCCTCTCCTCGCCTCGGAGCCTCCCCAGGCAGCCTTTTCTTATTCTTTTTTTTTTTCTTTTTTTTTTTTTTCTTTTTTTTTTTTTCTTTTCCTAATGAAGGCAGTGACAAGGACTGGGTTTGATGACGCAAAGTTGTGTCCCCGGTGCGAAAGTCACCAGTGGCATTCGCAGCCCCGCACGGGCCGGTGCCGTGTGCGGCGGATTTTGGTTGCGGGTGCCGGGCAGGGCTGCGCTGTCCGACCCAGCGCGATTCCCGGCGCCGCTCTGGGGAGCCGGCGGGGCGGTTTTAGGGAGCAGGAGGGACACGACGTGCGTGGGTTGGTTCGCTTCGCTTTGCCGCGCTTTGCTGTCGCTCCGGTTCGCCGCGCGCTTCTCCGCCAGACCCCGTGACGTCACAGCGCCGCTCCGGGGCCGCGATGTGACGTCACGGAGGCGCAGTGCGCGGTGACGCGGGGCAGGGTGAGCCCCGGGCTGGGCGGACGGACACACGGCCCATTCTCGCCCTGTGCCTTTGGGGCTGGGACCCTCCCGGTGCGGGCGGCCCCGGGACTGCCCCGGGGTCCGGGCCGGGGTCCGACGGCTCCGCTCGCGTGCAGAGTCAGCTTCGCCCTCGGAAAAATACAAAGCGCCGCGCTACTCCGTGTTCCGTTCCTCCCGGGCCACGAGGGAGGACGGGGGCCGCTCCTGAGGCGTTCTGCTTCCCCCTCCTCCCTTGCCAAGCAGCACGGACTAGAGCGAGAGCCGCGGTGGTGAGCAGCCCCCGTGCTTCCCCCTGGGAACAGAGATTTTGCCTCGGCACAAAATCCGCGAGGGCCGGGAAGCTGCTCACGGAGCCAGGGGAAGGGCAGGAGAGGCCCAGCCGCCCTCCCTCTGACCCACAAGCTCGGCCGATGGGCGCTGAACCTGGGACATGGTTAGGAAGAGGAGACAGAGGAATGAAGTGAAGGACCGGGAAAATGCCGGTGTCCTACAATGATATGGAGGCGGGTGCACGTCTGGCCTTCGCCCGCTCCTTCTCAGAAGGTCCTTCGGGGCCGGGGGAGTTTCCGGGAAGGACACTCTCCTCGGGGACCACCCTTGTTAGCAAAGCCCCGAGGAAAGGGAAACCCCCACAGAATTCCCTCACTAGGAGCCCTGGGGAGAAGAAGCCGGGGCATACAGCAGGCCGAGAGAAATCTTGCGGGACGAAGAAGGGACGGGTGAATAGGTAAAAAACGTGTAACCGAGAGGGCAGAGGCTCCGTCAGAGCCATCACAGGCAGTGTGATCCCCGAGGAGGGCGCGCACAAAGTTCTGGTGCATTCCTGGATGCCCGCAGGAGGCAGCGCTCCCGGGGCTCCGTCCCTGAACGACCCGTCCTGGGACAGAGAAGTGGGACAGGGGAGGAAATTACCTGGAAGAGCTTTGTAATTTAATGTTCTGTCTTTAAAACCTTGCCAGGGAGGAATCGAGGGGGTGTCACGGCTAATCGGGGCACGGTGTGGGCCCTGCAGTTCGCTTTCAGCCCCAGAAAGTGGCTGCACCCCTCAGCGCGGGATTTGCCGTGATGTTGGAACTCCCCTAAATGCAAGGGAAGCCGCGGGACAGATGCCCAGTGAAACACGACTGTTTCTCCTCTGATAAACCACCGTGGTGCGGCTCACGGAACCGCAGGAATTTGTTTGCCTCTTGAGTTTGCTTCCTGAAGACTGGCCCGTGCAGGAGAGAGGGTTTTGGAGTGGCTCTTGTCAGATGAGAAAGGAAAAGCGCGTCGGGAAAGCGTTTCTCTTCCCTTGGGTTAAAGGAATCTCCTCCAACTCAGGGCTGGCTGCGCGGGCCCAGGCTTTCTCCACCTCGGCCTCCCCAAATAACGGGAGCAACGCCCGCCCGGACTTGGAGTCGGGGAGAGAGCGAGGCAATGCCTTTATGGCATCATTTTAAGATAACACAGAAAAGAAAAGAAAAAAAAAAAAGGACAGAGAGGAGGAAATAATGCTCTTGGGGCTCGAGCTTTGGGTAAAGACACTCAGGTCGGAATGGAAGAGATGGGACAAAAATCCTTCGTCCTGCGCCCTCTTTTTGTGCTCCGTGCACCTCGGGTGCTGTTCCGGACAAGGGGCCAAGCGGCGGAGCGGGCGGATGGGTTTCTTCCTCTCCCCCGGCTAAAGCAAAAATCATTTACATCTCTCTCCAGTTTGCCCCTGCTGTGCTCGTGCAGGTACAGCAAAGCCACGAAAACGAGTTTGGGAAAAGATGAGCCCATGGAGGGATTCGTGCCCGTCTCTTCAGGGAAGGAAGTTTTCCCCGTCCCGCGGGGCTGCAGTTACTGCTCTATTTCTGCAGGAAAATATAGGGACAGTGTCGTGACCGCAGGCAGCTCCAACGCCGTTGGCTGGCGAAGGGGACATGTCCGTAGTGCAATGCAGCACCCCGCTCCCAGAACAGGCCAAAGAAAGCTTGGAGTAGCCTCTACTTTGTTTGCTTGCTACGACCAGGTAACACGAAAGGCTTTTGATGCTGGTTGTCTCTGAACTGGAGACCCCCGAACGCACTGTTTTACTGCCGACACGAAAATCCCTGACGGTGTTTCAATCGGGGGCAGCAGATTTTGGGGCGGTCTCTTCAGCTCCCCTAAATGCGCTGTGACTCTTTCCGTGTCTGTGCCGGACACTCCTCGGGCTGTCCCTGCCCGCCACAGCGCGGCCGGGCACAGCGAGGGGGGCCGGGGTCCCCACGGAGGGGCCGCGGGAGCTTCCCCGGCGCTGCCCGGGTCCCCGCGGTGCCGGCGGGGCAGACTCACCGCACCAACTCTCCTCGTCTCTTCACTGCCCCGCCCGCACGCCCCGCATTTCGCGCTGATTTAAAATGAAAAGTCGTAGCAGAGACCAAGAAGCGGGAGCGATACTCGCCACCGCACGGAGGTTTTCCTGCCTCCTCCTGCCTGGCATGTATGGGAAATCGGATTAATGCAGAAGCGGGAGGCCTCGCCGTGCCGCTCCGATATCCCAGCCCTGTTTGAGGGCATCTACACTCGCAGAAATGCGCAGCCGGGCGATCAGAGCCAGGTCCGGCCAGCCTTCCTCCCGGGAAGCAGCTTACCGATAACCTCACCTTTCCCCGGCGCTGTGTTAGGAAGCCCAACGAGATTCTTCTCTTTTCGCCCGATTTCTTACCAGAGACCTCCCATCTCCAGAGACCTGAGTCAACCTCACAAATAACAGCCACATTAGAAGAAAAACACCCAAAACAATAACACAACAAAACAGAAGCAATGTTTTAATTAAGAGATGCACGGTGCAAAAGGGCCGGGTGAGGAACCGGCCTCGGGGTCCTCCGCGGTGCCCCCGCCTCGGCGCTGCTCCCCCAGAGCCCCGCGGGCGCGGAGCCGGCGCGGCGAAACCTGAGTTCGCCTCCCTCGTTAGCAGAGCGAGACCGGCCCGCTCCTTAGGAAAATATTTTTATTTTATTTTAATGTCGGGCTTAAGCTGATGTCTTAAAAAATAATTGTTTTCAGACCCCAGTTCGCTCGGCATTGCCGTTTCACACTCGCAGGCACACACAGCTTTCCCTGCAGTTCATGCCTCGGGACTGCCTGGCGTCGGCAAGACAAACTGCAATCTCCAAAATGTCAACTTTTGCCACAATCTCGACTAAAAAAACCACCCCCTTCTTATTGCTGTTGAGCCCTCATCAGAAATAATGGCTGTTTACACAAAACCTTTATTCACTTTCTTAAATAAACACCAGTGAATTCAAATAAAGCAAAGCCTCAGCTATAATTCAAGCACAACGTTTTCTGTGTGTATTCTCGGCTGCGGACCTGGAGAGACTCCTCGGAGAGAAATATGAGGTCTCTTTTCATAGTCCACGTCCATTAGCTAAATACGCTGGCTCACCTCGGCCAGGTTTATACTACTTCGGTTTTCATTCCCCCCCCCCCCCCCCGCCCCCTTTTTTATGTTTTTCCCCAGCTGAAACGGAAATATTTCGTCCCTTTCCCCCGATCCCTTTTTACAGAGGTGTGGTCCGGGAGCTTTTCTTTTTAAATCCATTTGAGAAGCCCCTTCCTCTCCCCTTGCACAGCCCCGGCTCGGGGCGCGCTGCGGGAGCACAGCCCGCCCGGCCGCCGCGGATGCTCGTGGCTCGGCGGGCAGAGGTGGCTTTGGTTATAAGGGAAGGTGTGTGGCTTGCGGGTTGGTGAGCTCGGCGAGGCGATACCAAGGTCCCGCTTATCTCGGAAAGAACCGCCGATAAACGCAGTTCGTGCAGACCCACGAGCTCAGGACTCCGCAGGGAGCGGCGGCCCCGTCGTCCTGGAGGGAACCAGGTCCGTCCCGGGGAGCGCTGCCCTCCTGCTCCCCTCAGCCCCTCCGCTCCTAGGCTGGGACTCGCGGCCCCAGCCCTAATGAGGTCCATTAAGCGCATTATTGATGTGGA